CCGTTGAGTGAACTTCTGCTTGGCTTATGCTGGCATAGTGTAATTTCACCAGTTATCCAGACTTCAATTTAGCCATAGCTAATGGAGAAATGGATGACAAGTCACCGACACTGTTAGAATACGTGTAACTCTACGAGCGTTTGGTGATTGCTGACGAGCATGGCCAGGCGTAACATCGGGAAGGGATCTTTGCCTGACTATTGCTTACAAGGTCTGGATTGTATTATTAGCGAGTTTACTCTAAAGTTTTGTTCTTTTTTTGCTATTTGCAATTTCTTCTGTTCAAGGTTTTGACACCACTGATCAAAACGATTTCAACGCCTCCAATGCCTTCAACGATTGCAACGCATACAATGCATTTAACGATTGTAATACTACAACGACTTCAACGATTCCTACGCTCGCAACGATTGCAAGACTTAGAAGGATCGCAACGCTTTCAACACTTACGCCTTTGACATTACTCTGTTGCAATTTATAACTTCAATTTAAGACGAATAATAAACGCTACTACAAAACACAAGACAGAAGTGTTTCATTCTTTTCTTTTTTATTATATATATAAATTTCTTATAACAAACCCTGGTATACTCGTTGAGTTATACCCTAGCTGTAGAGAGAGGGCCAGAAAGGTCGTTACAAAGTACTATCGGAAAGTGTAGAAAGTAGGTAAAATTTCATTATCTAAACTGAACGAAAATACAACAAATATATAGATCAATAGGCTTATCTCCATTTTAAAGCTTTTTGAAAAAATATTTTTTATTGATTGGATTTAACAATTCAATCTTATTTCTAACCAATGGTAAGGATCCAGAAAGCCTTATTTTGCAATTCAACAGGTGTATAGAATAATAAATAACATTTCTATGATAGCATATGGCATCACGGAGTCATATAAGAATTATTATTATTTATTAGAAAATAGGTATCTTTGTGTGATATGTAAGGAAGACATTTTAGGTCGTGTGCGAGTTAGGCTAAGTTGCGTTCTAAATGAGGGAAATACTAAGTTGTGCCGATAATGTAGTGATGTGTCGATTAGAGTACTGCACGCGCGCATTTGATTTCAGTTTCAAAGCATTCTATTGTGTTTAGAATGGTAGCATACTCTCACTCTCAACGAACAAATACGAATGTATAGGCATAAAAACAAAATGGAATAGAATAAATATTTGTTTCGTTTGTTTAGAGTACTCTAACTCTAAACATTCTAAAAGTAGTTGAAGTAGTTGGGAGTACTCTAAGCATTTGATTTTCAGTTCATACAAAAATTATGTGTTTTTAAATAGTAAGACCCAAATTTATTTATTTAAGTTTTTTTATTAATTAAATATTATTTAAAATGTTGATTGATAATAGTAATTTGTTGATTACATATATAATATGACTTAATATATTAATTAAATATAAAAAAAATTTTGAACAAAAATTTATTTAAAAAAATTATAATAAGTTTTTTTACAGTTTTTACAGTTCACAAATTTAATTTAATATTCAAATTAAATGTTGAGCATCGTCTGACTTAATTCCTCTTTTTCAAGATTGTTGTGTAAAACATGATTTGATTGATAGATCTTTGATTAGATGAAATCAATGTTCCTTTTTCTGATATTAAGTTCCGAGCAACTGAAAAAACCCTTTCCGAAGATGCACTACTTGCTGGTGTTGCAAATAATTTACAAGAAACTTTGTAAAGTAGGAATTCTGAAGGAATTCTTAAGAAATTTCTAAAAATCTCTCTTGTCATAAATAGATATTTTTACCATATCATGCATAAAATTATTTTCCAGGAAAAGGTAAATATGTGAAGCAATTTATTTTCTTACATCATAAAAAACTATCGACAAAGAAGGAAATTCTGCGCAAACCGTTTTTTTAAGTTAACCTTTTGCATTAGATCTACCTGTTTAAACAACTTTTGCATTGAAAATAATAGAAAATTAAACCTAATTTACGTACTTTGTTCTTGCAATTATTGCAAATCTCTACGCACATCCAACTTTCTTTACTTTTGCGCAGGCAACCAAACGCACACAAAATATATAAAATATTTCTTTGCAAAAATAGAATTATTTGAAATACTCTAAAAGTGATTGAAATACTCTAAAAGTGATTGAAATACTCTAAAATATTTGTTTATTTGATTTTAAAATTCAAAACAAACGATTATAGAGAACAAATCAACCCCCATTCCATTGAAACGAATGCGGCGGAAACGAATTCTATCGGACCGTTTCTGTTATTCGTTCGTATTCGCTTTAGAAATAATTTGTAAATATGGTACACATTTGAAAATAAAACGAATGACCGCAAAAACGAATGTTTTGATGCAGCACTTTAGTGTCGATACGTGTTGATAAATGACTAAATGTGTGCAATGCAAAAAATCCCAAAAGATCTCCCATTTGGTTTAGCATCAACTTAGCCTAACTCGCACACGTCCTTAGAAATGAAAAAAATGAATGCTGGACTACCAAATTGTTCTTTACTTTGTCTTGTTCTAGGACTAAGTAGATATAAAGATTTGAAAGTTACGTCAGAGCAATTTCTGTAGGAATTGAAGTTAAGTTTGATTAGGTGTAGTGATGATTAGATAGGAAAATTTGAAAAATTCGATTTTTCATATAAGAAAATATGCAAGTATTAAATATACTTAAGTTTTGATCAAAGTAGTAATTCTGATTTTTAAATATTAATTATAAGTAAATATTAATACTGCAACAACTATACAAATTACAACAATAATTTTGACATAATTATTAATCATTAATAAATATTAATAGTTTAAGTTAAAAAAAATTGTTGACCTACTACTCAAGTTAGGCTGTACTTCCATATAGAAATAATGCTTTTTAAAGTATCTACTATTATCTGTTGATAATTATCTGATGACTTGTTTGCATTCTTTAAAATTATTTATTTATGATGCTGAGTATATTGCTAAACTTCAATGCTTTATATAAATAACCATAATAGAAGATATTCAGGTGTTACTTCTTATAATGCCATGTTACCCCATGGCATACCCTTTCGTTACCTAAGCTTTAAAATGATAAAAATAGTCAATACTGAAGAAAAAAATATGTCTCAGTATATTTTATCTAAGTCGTAGTCAAAATTATAACTTCTAGGATGGAGTGTTTTTAAGAAGCAGAAAATAGATAAAAATTATTTAAGCAGTCGACGATGATACGTATTCCTTTGATAAATAACTTACATAGTGGCTTTAACATAATATATCAATCTTTAAATTACGTTTCTGAGAGTTTTGAAGTCCAGTCAAAAAGAATTCTTCGTTAACGGGAGTAACTTGTTTCCTACATCTGGAAACTGTCGCAAATAATTATTTAACAATATCATTATAAGACTTAATTATTAAGTACCAAATGGATGAAACCGGAATTAAAAGTAATCTTGGTACAACAAACGTTGAAAACAGTATTCTTAAAATACTATCTGGTCTGGTACACACGCGCAATTTTCGTACACTTATAGTCATCTACCAATTGCAATCTTTAATGCGATTGGTATATATCTATGTAGGTTGAACTCATGGCTGTGAAATCACTGCCAGGATAATTGCGCTATGAACTTTAGAAATGATTTTTTGCATAACGTGTGCGAAGTCATTAAGAATTATTGCAACGTTCAATTTCGAGTATCAGAGCACTATGCTTGTAGAGTTTAAGCTTCTATATAAATAGAATAAACTCTTTATAAGAATGGAAAATAAGATAGCATAATTTGAATAATAGTTAAGTTAGCTTGTAAGCTGGTAAATTATAGTTAGATAAATAAAAACTAGTCTTAATCCAAACCTTAACGAGTACACTATGATGCCAATGCAAAAAATTTGCCTATCACTATAGAGAATATACTATTTTTTGAAAAAACTATTTCTCAACAGCCTTATTTTTCTAAAATCGGTTTACTTTTGTCTACATATACTGAAGTTGATAATAAGCCTATACATTTATTAATACAAATGGTAATTCCGAATATATTAAATTGAAACCATCAATTATTGCCATCAAATGCTCGCTTATTTTGAAATCAGAAATATGCAGAGGTACGAAATATTGTGTTATAGATGAAGAACATCCTTTGCATAAAATTTTACAACAAACTTATAATTCTTTCCAATCCACTTCAATACCTTCAAAATATCTGAAATCACTGGCTAAATGTCAGTAGTTATCTCTGACGGGTCTATTTGTATGAGTAAAGTCAAAAAAAAAATTGTAAGATTTGCCGAACAAAGAATACTGCAATAGATATAATGTTAAATGAATCTATGTCGAAAGATTTTAAGCGTGGAGATGGAAATAAAGTCAATATTATTTCGATGGTGAAAAACAAATTTTAAAATCCTGAAGGTGATATTGCTAATATCTAATATATACTAATAATGAACACTGCTATTTCCTAGCGCCTAACATTTGATGCTGTTTACATCATTGGCAACACAGCTAAATTGGCGTATTCTTCAAGTCGTTTAAATCGTATTAAAATAACTATCAATATTTTATTTCAGCATCACGATATCATTGCACCTTACGTATAGGGAATATAACTGTGCTCCTTAGTATCATTGGCATCTTCAAATATCAGAATGCCAAGCATGAAGATATCGCCATACCGCTTCGCGCATTCTTTTTGCACAGCGTGGGTTCACCATAAATAAACCTCAAAAGACTTCCACTGCAAATGTCTATAACATTATACTTAATCCATAGAAATAGCATAGAATAGTAAAATTCATTGCAATCTATTAATATTATTTTAGCACTAAGTATAATAATTTCTGTTACTTTCCAGTCAATTATTTGGGTAATAAGACATTTTACAGGCACATTTTTTAAACTATTTTAAACATTAAAATATCATCTGAAAGTCATTCAGTGAAATTTTTTAATATAATGCAAATATTTTTGAGAGTTTTATTAGAGTCAAATCAGTTGATTGTAGCTTCGCCTGCACTCTTATTTCCTACTTACCGTTTTCCAGCGCTATGGACAACTTCGACCACATAGAAAGAAGTAGTACAATAGCGAAACTAATGTGAGCGCTCACGTTCATTGTTTTTGTTTAAGAAAACTGTAAGTAATATTTCAATAATGACTCAGCAAGTCATAACACTTATTACAAAAGTTAAGTCCGTACATCAACTTCTCACATCACTGACACAACCCGACTGCATCTCATGTTTCTTAAGCAATTAACAAACTGATAAAATTAAATAAAGCAAACGTAATAAAGCAGAAGTATCAAAACTAGGAATGAAACATTAATCCAGCAAGTAGATAACAAAAGCCTACTCCTTTATTAATTTTTCAATCTTGTACCCTACAAACAGTAAGAATGTGAATTGATAGATAAGATAAGTGAGATATGTTACTAGATCAGGTAGGTTTTTAATTCTACGTACAAATATCATTTGCAATCACAAGACTATTCACAAGACTATCATCACTACAAATAGTAGTAATAGTAGTGATTAGTCTTGGCTAAATTTGATGGATGCCATAACTCTACAGGGTGCCGTTGAATGCCTGTACTGAGTAAATGTAAAAAAATGTCTTTGATTATAATATCATATAGTAAATATTTACTGTTTTTCATATGCCAACCAAATAAAAACTAAATAAACAATAATAAACAGAATTTAATGTCTTATCACACAGGCTTTCAAATCGTTGAAGAAAATCAGACGAACAGTTTATATATAAACTATACGGTCAACCCGGTATAGAATTGAATCCATAATAACGTATCTTATTTAGCAAAGAATGCCAATGACATCTTGAATTTATAAACATTTTTCTGTTTACTTTGCTAACTATAATAAAATATAATAAATATGATTTTTCAGGGACTCTTAAAATAATACTTTTTATCTTTCTAGTTGACTAAAGTAGTTAAGATAAATAAAACTTACTTGATTCTGCACAATATTATACACTCGTATGCGTATAAAAATTGTCGTGATTAGCTTCAGTAGCACAACAAGTTGTTTTATGCAAATAATTGAAAGGCATATCAAGATATTTATTCTCTCCAATAGTGATGCGTTGTACTCGTAGTTTAAAAAAAATATTCGTTTTATTTATTAAAAATTTAAATACAAATTTATAATTATAATGTGATAATTTTATTAATTTTGCTTTCAATTGTTATAAAAATATAGATTTTAAGAAATTCTTCTTCCACGTGTCCACATCATAGGCATTGCCCCTCATTCAGTGTAGCAGTTTTGAGCTTCGTACTTGCTCTGACACTGGGATCGCATATAGTGCCGGTAGTGACCTTGTTAATATTGGCGCGTAAGATGCGGAAATTTATATCATTAAAATCTAACTGGCTATATAAAAATATGGGTAGGCGGTTGCTCATAACCCATATGTTTTGCTCATACTCTTGATCAACTTTTAAGTCGTTCGGAAATTGTATTAAACGTGACATGTTGCTTTCATTTTCGTTCGCCAAAAATTTTAGATTTTCGCGTATATATGGCTTGGATGTATCCCAGCACCCAATTTCATCACGGTGTACTTGAGTAAAAAACATGATGCCATTGCGATCCACATTAGATGTCGAAGACTGTCCATTACTGCCACGATCACCAATTGGGAAAAAATTTAAGGCATTTTGTGTATTATCACTGTCGTTTTGAATTAACTTAGTTGAAACTACAAATTCCTTAAATTAAATATATAGATTATTAAATTTGTAAAATCAAGAAGAATTACGATTATTTTGTGGCATGAAAATTAAAATTTATAGCCACAAACATATGTGCAGAAAATCTGAAAATGGATACAAATTACAAATTATTTATTTTATTAAGTAGCTCCTGCGTTGTGAACTTGGTTTATCAATAAATCCTTCATCTTTTCAAAAACAGTGGCACAAATAATTAAAAAAAGTAATAAAATACAATAGTTACTTTCATCCGATATCTGATTATATGACATTTTACCGCACATTAAATCAAACTAATTTTACAATACACGCACGGATAAACAAGTTCTCAAACAATGTCTAAACTTTCTATGTTTAAACGTTTATACGGATACTTAACCATATAACCGTAATTAATTAAAAATAATAACGTTGTAACCCTCCAGCTATATAGATTTATTATCAAAATATTTAATTATTTACTTGTCATTTTCTATACTAAATTAATATACGTTCACCGAGAATATATATTTAATTACCGGTCAAGATATTACCTTTTTCAATATTTATTAAAAAAATTTATGTGAGGATTATGAAAGAACATCGACTTTGTGTAGGGCAACTATAGTTGTTTTACTGAGCTTCATAAATTCTTCAGAACCTAAAGATGGTAACTCTTTGTTGTTAACAAAATTGTAGCTTTGTGGTACTCTTTATATGTTCTGCAACGCAAAATTATGCTCAGAGTTACAGAGCTTGATACTGTAGCCAGCGACTGTAGCTTAATGGCCAACGCACGATTAAGCTACAGTAGCTGGCTACAGTATCAAGCTCTGTACAGTGGCTGGCTACATTAGTTCGAAATTTCAAATCGTTCGTTAGTTGAGTAAATGCATTTCAACAGCAGTGCGGAGGGTTGAGCAATAATCGTTGAGTACTTTATTTAATATCATTGGACTACACTACACTACATTGCACTGCAAGTACTACACTAAGTCCAATTATCTTTAGTTGCGATAAAAGCGCCGAAATAAATGCTTTTGAATTCTTTTTATCTTGTTTCTCGATTTTACTAGTAAATTATGTGCTTTTAACACAAAAAGAAAAGAAACGTATTACTTCTTATTACGAATATATTAAAAATTTTTCGTTAATGAACTCCAAACATTTGTTTTAACGCCTGTTTAAACTTTAATTTTTAGTCCGAAAGTTCGGTTTCAACTTAATTGCTGCAGATCAAACTTTTATATATGTATATAGAATATATAGAATCGAATATGTTTAAACATATTTGCATTTTAATACACAAAAGTTTGTTTTATGTGGCGATAAGACAGAATGATCGAAGCTGTATAAAATCAGGTTGTATCAAAACTTAAAAATTACCAGTAAAAGATCAATATGTGTATATAAGGAAAGAAATCATGATTGGATAAAGAATAAACCAACAATTTTGCGAATTATACCGAATCACAGAATAATATTTGCTCCAAATACACGCATATACATATGAATACTGAAGAAACGATAAAATTTGTATCAAAGCCCGTGTCCAAGAAAAAAACATTCAACCTCTTTCAAACGAAGATATTAAAGTAAAGCAAATATGTGACCACATCTAGTAAAAATATTTTATTGAGTTTTTTTATATTTTAGCTGGAACAGTAAAATCGTTCGAATCAACTAAAAAAAAAAAATATTCAGATATTGTGAACGAGAATTAGTGAAAATATGTATTCTGAAATTTCCTATAATAATCCCAGAAAGCTATGGAGCAATTAATGTACTAGACTAGATCTATTGAAATAACGTCGATGTGGCTTATTACTGCATGCGATAAAATATGCTTTTTTATACTTATGTTTCTGTTTAACTTTTTTGATTAAGAAAATAATGGAACACCCACAAAATATTGTTTATTTAATGACTTCAAAGATAGTTTAATAGGAACATTTAAAATGAACTTGTCAAAATTCCACTTCTTAAAATTAAGAATTATAAATATTACGTATTTTAATATCTTACCTACAGTACATTGAAACAATGTCCAATCAATTTTTTATTTTTTGTATATTATCATTTTAATATATGTATGGGTCTTTTCGTCAAGTTTGTATAGTAAAAAGGATTTATATTTTGCATGTTGGCCTAATAATACTAATCATTATATGTGCAATTAATCTTAAAGGTGTCTTATAAAAAAAATAAAAAAATATTTTTTTAACTATCCCAATTCGATACTTCGATACTCGATACTGACCAATAAACCTGTTCAATAAAATAGGACGTTTCCTGTACCAATTCAACCAGGTATACACGAAAATAATAGTCTAGGTGAAAGTATGAAAGCTTTTTTTGTACCCACATAATATCGTTTAATTTTAAAAGTTTCTTTTTTATTTTATCGGTCGCTAAACGTTTTAGTTGAGAAGGAGCCGAACTAGTGGATTTAGTAGAAGAGCATACTAATGCCTTGAGAAATCAACAGTCCTATACTGTAACTTCGGAATTTAAAGTTGTTATTGTGTCAAAGACAGGAATTTAACGGTCATGGGAAGCTTTGCGGGACAAATATACTAAATTGAAAAAGAAAGTCTAATCAGGAATCGGGGGAAAAATGCATCGAAGAACAAGCAATTAGACTTAGCAATAATTACGATAGTGACTGTAAGTATTTGTTTGAATTATATTTCCAACAAAAATGATACAGCTTCATTATTTCTTGCTAACGACATCGTACGTAGTCATAAAATTTATGCTGTTTAAGAAATGGAAAATAATTCACTCGTGCTGTTTTAAATTTTTAATTTAATTAATATTAATTAATATTCATTTCAGAATTGTTCACAACTGAGTGTATAAGAATTGAACATCGAAACACCAGAATATAATTCTGGTAGCCGAAGAACATGTAGTAGAAGTAGAGTCCTGCTTATCTGAGAATAAAAACTGGTAAAAAATTAAAAAAACTTAAGAGTTTGAGAGATGACCTATAAATATCACCTATATCTATATATATATATATAAATAGTAGAAAAAGTCTGCGTTCACCCACAAAATGTATCTAAAATTTTGCACAATTTTTTTAATTTTTACTCAAATGGATTTTTGTTTTCTGATTTATTTTAACCAAAGAAACAACAATAAAGTTCAAATATAAAAAATTAACAGTTACTTTTTAAAAAAAAATTATACACAATTATATGCAAAAGCAACAGTTAAAAAAAATTATGCGAAATTTAAGAAAAATTATGTGGGTGACCGCAAACTTTTTCTCCTATAGACATATGTATATACAATGGGTTTGCTGAAGAGAAGAAGCTGCTAAGCAGTGACGATTGCTCTAAGGTGCGGTGAACACCCTAACATAATTTGCAAAATGTCAAATAACATAGGTATATGAATTTATTAAGTATCTTCACATCAAGAATTATTATTATTTATTACTTTTCCATATATGTATTTTTAAAGTTTTAGCAAAAACAATTAAATATAATTGTCTATGAAAACTCAATCAATTTGCTTCTGTTAGCTGCTATACTTGTTAGTTATGCTCATATATTTGCAGCTCAAATCACAGAACATTTCTATTTTATTTCGTCTCTCCCCTTTGTGTGCAAAGAAGTTGGCCGCACATTCATACGTTGCATATGAACAAAATAATGTGCGTGTGCTCCCGTTCGTAATATCAGAAATAGAGATTAAGCTTTTAACAGTAGCACCCACGAATTTCTATCGCTCACTGTGCGGAGTACTTGTCCGCACATTTATACGTTGCAAGTGGGTTTGATTTTGTTTGATCACTGCATAAACATATATCGTTCTGAGTAGAAACTCTTTTGTTTGAAAAAAGTTGGTTTGATGTTACAAGTATATGAAAAGTTTTGTTTCTTCCATATTGATATAATATTAAATTTATATATAAATTATTAATTTAATTTGTTTAATATGTTATTTTGTTAATGAATTGTTAATATAATATTGCGAATATATTGTTGCCTAATATAATATAGTTATTATTAATAAAAGATCTCATATATTTTAATATAAGTGGTACATGTAAAAACAACATTATAGAAGGGCCGCACACCCTTCCAGATAGGGCACGCGTCGTCACTGCTGCTAAGTAATTATGGACGTGTGAGAGTTAGGCTAAGTTGCGTTCTAAATGAGGGAAATTCTAAGTTGTGCCGAGAATGTAGTGATGTGTCGATATGTGTTGATAATTGGCTAAATGTGTGCAGTGCAAAAAAATCCCATAAAATCTTCCATTTGGTTTAGCATCAACTTAGCCTAACTCGCACACGTCCTATATGTTTTAACCTCGCAATACTAGAAGCTAGTAGTAAAACTCGGCGTTTAATTTATTTTTTGATAGAGTTAATATTTGTCCACCAGAAGTGAAAACCCTCTCAACAGGACTAAATAATGGCAGAATAGCGTAATATTTCATAATATCATGTTTAAAATATATGGGTAGTTAAATATTGATGATAAGTACTATAATACTTCTTAGCAAAATAAACAGTACTTCTGTTTTGTACTTCTTGAAACAAAATTCTCTCTAAATTTGAACCAACGGTAATATGTTTACGAACTAATTCGATTTGGAGAAACGGTATTATGGCATGATCAATTCCAATAAACAGCAGAATGTTAGCTTTAAGATTAAAATGTAAGTAATTTGATATTATTAATAAAGAACCTCTCAACAAGTACGAGTACATTTCTTATGTAGATACAAGATACGAGAAATAAAATGTATCTGAGTAAGGTGCAAGGTACAGCTATATGTAAAGTGTAAAGTTGTCGAAATCAGAAAAGATAACCGATCAGTGAAAATATAGAAAGCAGTCCCATGGTTTGTAGAGTATAACGGGCACATCAAAATCAAGATTGTTGTTGCTTTAAACGTAAATTCTAAAACTGGGATTGAGAGAACAAAAAACATATGTCATGAGAACCGAGGCTATCTGTGCCTCGTCATTCAATCAAAGCCGTGTTATATGTGCGTATGTATACATGTATTTTCTTTTAAATTTTCTTTTAAAAAATACGAAATTCACAAACTGATGTGACCCTCTGCATAACATACATTTCGTCATAGCCCGAAAGAGTCAATTTTGATGTGCCCATGACACTTTACATAACATGAGGCTTACATCTAATGATATTAAAGAATATATAAATATATTTTCTTCTGTGAGAATAACGCCAACTTTTTGAGCGCAGCAATGAACTTATCAGTGGGTTTTTACTGACTGGTGCATTAAATATTATTTTAATTTAATATTTATGTCAGATTTTGGCAAAAATATACATAATTTATTGATTCGCCTGGATTTGTGTACTTAAAAATGCAAAGCCACAAATATGTGAACGTTTTAGTACTGATATAATTTTCACTCAATTTTTCTTTATATGAAAGCAACTAATTGTGATTTTCTATTGTTTTAGAATATTATTATGGACACCATAACTCAACATAAATTATAAAATCCGTAAGAGTGTTCACAACTATTTGTTATACACACTTTAAAATTATTGCTTTTTTAATTTTAAACAAAAACATAGAATTAATGTATAAATTAAAGAAACTTATTTAAGCTGTGGAACAAATTCAAATTCAAGTTCAAATTTTGCTTACCTTGAAACTTGCCATTGGATGGAAGTACAACATTCTATCATTGTTTAAGAAATTTTTGCTTTCAGCCGATAAACTTAAGCCAAATATACCATCTAACCATTGAAAATTTAGTCCATAAATATTAAAATCTGCCGCTACTGGATTCGGGAGAAAATTAAAGTTGGTTATCCGCCAACTTTTTTGTTTTGCTAAACTATACACCACAAGTCCAAACCGCCATACATCAGTCACATACACATAAGCATCATGACATTGTCCTTCACGAACATCAGCTAATATATTGGAGTGCAGAGAGTCTTGTTTCACTTGGTCCGGTGGCAACTCATAACTTAAAATCAATTCATCAGTGTTTAAATCAAAAGCTACAATTTTTGGTGGACACAGTTGTGTGAAAGTAGTTAAAGCGTTAACAATTCCGGAATCTATCAACCATAAACGGCCGCATATATCAATTGACGTACGATACACCGAAATTAGTTTTGTACAGTCAGGATTGACCGTATTGCCATGCGCACTCCATTTTGGATATGGTTTTAATGCTGGGCTACGCTCGTTAGTAGGATAGGGAACATACGATAAACTTGCAGGCACTCCATCTTTCCATCGTGGTGTTGTAATAAAAAGACGATTTTTATAAACATCAATGCCTAATGGAAGATTATTTTCTGTTATGAATTCACTGAATTCACAGTGTTAGTTACATGATTACTCAGATATTCAAAATTGACTCTTACACTTCTTTTGCACTTACTTGTTTTTGATAGCCTGTTGTCTTTCCACGTATGTTGGATATTCAAAATCCAAAAACTTCCATTCATTAATTAAATCAAACGCATCCGACTTTCTAGAAATTCTAGGGGTTTCATCTTCCCAAAAGGAGTGTTCATGCCAGCCGCTGCTGCAGTTTGCAACATTCATATATAATAATACTAAAATGAAATTATATAACAGGTTTGTGGCTTTCATTATTGCTTGGCAGTCGATCGTAGAGAAAAGCACTTTTAATTCGTCAAGTGAATACAGACAACTGAGTTGTTTTCGTTTAATTTAAACTGCAAAACAGTATTGCTATATTTATGGTATTCAAAAATTATCGTAACATCCAATATTTTACCTTTCATTTTTTATGCTATACGCACACCCTAAGAAAAGGGTACATTCACTTTTTCAACACATTTGTAACACAACAAAGCAACTTGTGCGTACTATGGCTATGCATATATTTTTGAATTAATTCATAAGCTGAGTCCATGAAACCACTCTTTATCTGACTCTTCGTGTCTTCAATTGTATTTACTTATTTCTCTTCTCATTAGACGGCTTGCATATCCACCTGTGTCTGTTCCAAAGAAAGCATGGAGTTGTGTTGTATCTCTAAGTTTCAGAGACAGACCTTTAACATTTGCTAGAATATCGGCACTTCGTAAAACATTACCTGTATATCAACTAATGAATCTAAATCTAATGTAATTATGAATTATTAAGAAATTTTGTGGTTATGACTTCTGTTTAATATAGTAAAATAAAAAGGCTATTTGTACATATATCACATAATTATTTAATATTCACAATCTGAGCACATCTCGAAATCAATTTAATTTTTTTTGCATTTGTTCGCATACAAAATTAACATAGAACTATTTCTGAAACAATAATTTATCATTAATAATATAGTTTTATAAACAATGTATGAATTGCAGGTAGTATGAACAGGTAGTTCAGTTGATGATGATTGCTAAAACATGAAGGCTTTCTGTTGCCTTTTTTTCTGTTGTTGTTAGATCTTTCGCAATCTATTATGTTTCTAGCATGTGTTAGGCTATCGCAGATATCTTCTACTAGCTCTGCTGCAGAGATGAATTATCTATATAATTATGAATACACAACAAGCAAGTAATTTAAGGTCCTGTGCTTCACTGGGAGCGACATATGACATGAGAAGAGGCGTTACTATCGATCATTTTTAAATTTGATCTGAAGATTTGTCGTTAGCAAATTTTCAATAACTTTGTTCGAAGGGTATTGAAACTTCGGTAAAGTCAAAACTAATTTATTTTCTGGTTTTTTCGCACATTTTCATAGATATACAAGGCAAAATCGTACACAAATCTGGTCTGTTTTTAAGTAAACCAAACAAACTTTCAATAATACAAGCTTAACAGCTATACCAAAAAATCACTTCAATTACACAATTACATGCTAAATATACAGGTTTCAAATATTTGTTGAAATATATTGTAAAAATTGATACAAATAAATTGAATTTCGTAGCAAACTAGCAAAGAAGTTATTTTTGCGTTCACATTAAATGTGTAATTAATGAACCGTATTATTTCATGTATGTACATTTCGATTCATGTCTTAGCCACAATCTATTCTAAATCATAAATTTGAAGTAAAACTTCAATAAAACTCATCCTGTAATGCAGTAATACTGGTTCATAAGAACCAGTAATAAATGCACTGATTAGAAAAATAACATTTGAGAGAGGATTTGAATCATATTCATGTATCTAATACCCATATAGACATAATATCTCAATTGTCAATAAGAAAAATCCAGCTTTTTTGTGCATTGGACTTAATTTTCTCTCATATTGTTTTTGCATTCAATAAGAAATCTTTTAAAGAAAACTTGTATAATAAGAACTCTTATATATGTATGACTTCTAGGATTTATTGGGCTTTAAAGAAGTCAGGTATTCTTTCGTCATTTTATATGCTTATGGTATAGTTACAGATTCATTTTAGGACTTTTGAACCAAAAACATAGAAATATGGGGACATGTGATTTGTTTCTTTTAGAATTCTAGAAAACTTAGATTCTGTAAAACCAAACCAATCCTAATAAAATTAAAATTATTCTCTAAATAAATATTAATTGAAGGTTTAATTGCAGGCTCATCCGTTTTGAGTTTCCGAAAATAATTGTTAATAAAACGCGTTTGTGATAGAAATTTTTATTTCAATATATGTATTTGCAACGTGCAAATTAGAATAATTTTATATTAAACTTAGACAAATAAAAATTCGCGTCCATAAGGTTGTAAATTTTTGTATATAGCAGAATTTCGATATTTTCCTGACACGCTTTGAGCAAATTTTGCAGTCATGACTTAAGTATTACTTAAGTCAAAAAGTTGACTTAAGTCTGACTTAACTTAAGTATCTCAAGAAATAGCTGTTTTGATTTATTGTGCATGGTTTGAATATATATTCTTATTAAATATGAAATGATTTCGTGTGAATTAGTAAAAAGTGAAACTGATACGGAAATTGATATTTTATTTGAAGTATTATATCTCGGCGAAGCAAAACAATTCAGAATCATTTGAATTTTTGCCAGCGTTATGATGAGAAAAAGGTTCACATTAGGATTCACCTTGGCTAGGAAGTGGCTCTGAATATTTTGTAGTATAATAGAGACAGTATCCAACACTAAACGAATAGGTAAAATTATTAGAAAATATTTCAGGATATTGCCCTTATTATTTGGGCAAATGATTTTACTTAATTTATTATGCAACAGGTTGCAGGTTGTTTTACTTGTATCCCATGAAAAAATTTCGCCATAGAACAGGTTTTTTAATCAACCATAAATGCAATCATACTCTAGATGAAATTAGAAGATACTAAAAAGAAATTTTATATATTTTAGAGCTATATAGCCTTAATAAAATGCAAATACTTGAATAAATATCAATTGTGAAAATCAATCCTGAAATTGTTTGGAATGGAGAATTATTTTAATTTTTCATCCTCTAGGGTCATATATTTCCGTGTAGGGTCCGCCTTCAGTTGCATATAGTTCCTGTATTCCAGTAACTCAATATCTTTTTATCTCTCTATTTAAATTTTATATATTTTTTTGTGTTTTTTTATTTCGTGAAAAACCAACAAATCTCCTACAATTTTTGGATTTTCCGATCTATACAGCATATATTTTATCGCTACTGACTTTGTCTGTCTGCTTGCATTCAATTATTTTTCTGTAATTCTCCACCAGTTCCTATTATTTGCCAGCTTCAGCAGTTGAACAATTTTTATAGTACGTTTGATTTCTCATTGTTTTACTAAAAACGTTCAAAATAAAGATTTAAAATATTCAGTCGAATGAAGTTCATAAAATGAAAACATTAAATAAATGTATCAAAAATATATTTTGCAATACCATACATACCTAATTTTACTACCCAGAAAAATCTAAATACTGATACTGATACATAACAATAGGTGTATTTTTTTGACATGAATGCTCCAATAGAACAACTTCTGGTTGCTTAAGATTAACTTGGCATCACTGCTTAAATCAATAAACATAAGAGAAGTAAAAAAAATTTAAACAAATTTGTAATTGATAAATGCATGTAAATACAAAAATTCCTGTATATTATTTTAAAAAAAAAGGTTTTTTTTATATAAATATATATAAAATGATTGACACAAAAAAATGTATTTGAATTTATATAAAAGTACACATTTGTTTAGGCTTTATCCATGATAACAAAGGATAATAGTGAAATGAGGAAGATACAACGAGAGCGGCACGTTGACCAAATATGAGTCCATATCAGTGGCGTAACTACAGGGAAGCAACTGGAAGCAACGCTTTCGGGCCCCCGAATTTAGGGGGCCCCACTGTAAATGTTTGTAAACGTTTTTTGTTGTTATAACTTCATATTGCATTTTATAAAAGATACGTACATTTTAAATTTAAAGTACATAATATGTATGTACTTCAAATAAAATATTAAATCTATTTATAAAATAAAAAAGTTTTTCTAAGAAAAGTATGTGTCTTAATCGAGAGTTTATATGGAAGCTATATCTAGATTTATACCCATTTGAAAATAATTTTGTACGTTGTCTTTTGCAAATATCAGTACTGTATACACTAAATTCTATTTAAATACCTTTATTAAAAACGGATAAACCTCATATCCGATTGTTAAGTTTATATCACAGCTACAAGAAATAGACGTCCAATTTCAATCAAATCAAATGGTGAACAGGGTCGGCTAAAAGTGTGTGTGTAAAGTTTTATTCGAAGAGTTCAAAAGCTGAGAGAGTAGTTTGAACTGATACTGTACTGATATATACTTAATGGTATTTCCGACGTTTCCTTTAATACGTTACGAAAATCTTGACAAACCTTATATACCCTTTTCACATTTTTCGTGTAAAGAGTATAAAAAGAGGGGCCCCTTAGTATGTTGATAGGGGCCCTTTAGTTAGAATTTGCTTACAGGCCTAAAAAATGTAGTTACGCCACTGGTCCATATTTATCAACTTATTAGTCCATCGTTTCCGGACTGTAACTATAGAACTGCAATTAGAAATAGATAAAAAGAAATTTCAGGAAAATAGGTTTTCTTGAATGGTAAAAGTTACTTTTTATATAGACGTACTGGTTCTTGAAAATGGGCAACAAGTATTAATTCTAAAGTCACAGTACATTGACTATGAAAATATATTGTGTATTTAATCTTAAAATATATTAACAGTAACTTGATGGATAGAAAAATATTATTTTCAAATAATTTGTATAATTTTGTTGTGGGACTGTTAAATTCATATGAACAGGAAAGTTTTAACCACAATAAGAAAATATTAAGTAAAATCACCATAACTGTAACTTTTATAATAGGTGTATTCTTTTGTTAGCATAATTCCAAATGAACAACATACAATAGACACTACTTTGATGACAAATCTTTAAAAACTGGACATTTTCTTAAGCGGTTAAGCGGTTTAAAAGAAGTTGGACTAAAGAACCCTGCAATGTTGTTGCATATGTTATTTTTAAAATAAGCGGTTGTTTTTTTTTAGCGATTTGCGGTTAGACATTCTTAATATAAAAATACATCACCTAATGGAATTAGACTGTGAGCTTGAAATGTTAAATCAACGGATTAGGGTTATATGGCGTTTACATTGGCCGAAAATGGCTCATTTTGGTCAAAAATCGAAAATGAGTATCGAATGACTCATTCTTGCATATAAAATTTCAAGCGCAAAAATGAGCAATTTTCTCACATTCTGTATGAAAGACGTTCGAATGCATTCCACATATGTTCCAAATGCAGGGGAATCCATTGAACATACCCTAAATAAAAGCTTTTCATGGCATTTTGACAGTTTGAGATAGCTGTTTTTGACATATTTACAAAAAAAGGTAAACAAATGTTTAGTGGTTGCAT